AAACCGAGCGGATTTACCGCTCGTCCTTCAACCGGAACCGAGAGGAATTACCTCTCGGTCTTCGACATTTGTCGAGAGGGTTTTACCTCTCGGCCTTCGACATAAACCGAGCGGGATTTACCGTCGTCCTTCAACCGGAACGAGAGGAATTTACCTCTCGGTCTTCGACATTTGTCGAGAGGGTTTACCTCTCGGACCTTCGACATAACCGAGCGGGATTTACCGCTCGTCCTTCAACCGGAACGAGAGGAATTTACCTCTCGGTCTTCGACATTTGTCGAGAGGGTTTTACCTCTCGGCCTTCGACATAAACCGAGCGGGATTTACCGCTCGTCCTTCAACCGGAACCGAGAGGAATTTACCTCTCGGTCTTCGACATTTGTCGAGAGGGTTTTACCTCTCAACCTTCGACATAAACCGAGCGGGATTTACCGCTCGTCCTTCAACCGGAACCGAGAGGAATTTACCTCTCGGTCTTCGACATTTGTCGAGAGGGTTTTTACCTCTGCTTTGAGCTAGGAGTGTTTCCTAGTAACGGGATTTACCGTTCGTCGTCGAGAGCTTTACTCTCTCCCGGGGATTTACCGCTCGGTCTTCGGCCCTAGGAGTGCTTCCTAGGGAACGGGCTTTACCGTTCGACTTTGAGAGGTTTACCTCTACTTTGAGTAGGAGTGTTTTCCTAGTGAACGGGATTTACAGTTTGTCGTCGAGAGGGCTTTACCTCTCTCCCGAGGGGGATTTACCGCTCGGTCTTCGACCTAGGAGTGCTTCCTAGGAACGGGCTTTACGTTCGACTTTGAGAGGATTTTACCTCTGCTTTGGTGCACGGACGCCTTAGCTACACAGGATTCATACAGTCCGGACGGTCGGTCTAGTATCAGGATTTGGATGGAATTAATGTATAAATTGAATGTATATGTTGTGAATTTACTTGCTGAAATTGATAAGTATGAAATGTATGTTTGACTTGAATTAAATTCAATAAGCTTACCCTTGCGTTTCCATTGTGTTGTCTGTATATGTGTATCCGTCATGTCCTTGCAATGATCATCCGTGTGGATGTGAGCAGAAGGAGATACCTCACTGGAGCAAACGCTTGAAGAAGGATTCATTGCGGAAGAAAATCTAGTGGAAGTAGAAGTGAAGGCCGAACAGTAGTGCGTTCGGTTTTTAGTTAGTGTATTTAGGATAGCGGGCCGCTTGTGAGCGAGCGCCCTTTTACTTGATGTAAATACTTGGACGTTCGGTATTTTATTTTGTAAACTGTTCGTCTTCATTGTTTTGTAAACGCTCGTAACTTATGAATGCATTTAAGGCCGTTCGGCTATTCTCGAACTTAATCCTTGTTATTTTAAGACTGTTTTGCCATATTTATAAATGTGATTATTCTAAGTATATAGTTGATGACTGTATAATTTTGGGATGTTACATTTTAGTTTTCACATTAATATTTAAAATGTTTATTCATTTGATATATCTCAATTTAAGTATATTAAGCTTTAAATATAAACTAGTTTTAGTTTTATATTTAAGTTTAGAAATTAAAAAAATACCTAACCCATTATTTAGATAAAAACAGGTATGTTGATAAGAATCAATCTACTAAAATTTACAACAGATCTTCTACAGGATGAATAAACTTTATTGTAAAAAAAGATACATCTAGCATAGCATAATTAAAACAAAGGTACATTCGACACTCACTCAGATTGTTCGACCTATGAAGGAACCTAAAAACACTAAACTTGATTGCTCAGTGTC